AGGCTTCCTGCGAATCAAATGTTCGTGGGAAGCAGGGGAGGGGGCGGAGTTGGGGCGGGGACTTTGGGGAAGGGGTGGAGTTGGGGCGGGGCTGGGGGCGGAGACGGGGCCCCGTGGAGTGTCCTCTTTTTGGACACTCAAAATATGGTACCCCTAAATGAGATCCGCTTGGTGCTGTGGGTGGTGCCACGCGGCGTCTCCAGCTGAGCGGGGGAATTGCATTGTGGGACAGGGAACTTTCCCACCATTCCTCAAGTTGAGCGCTGTGGCTGGCAGACCAGACAGTGGGTGGCAATGTGGCGAGCCCAGGCTGGTCCTGGCACCTAGGACCTGGCGATGCCCCGCGAGCAGGCTCCCTTGGAAGGGGGGAGGGGCGACATGGTTCTTCTGGCTAGTCTCCCCTCTGCCCATGTGGTTGCACAGGGCTGTTGGACTCCCCCATGCCAGATGGCTAGGGTTTGGAGCACGTGGCTAGTGGCGTCTGTGGGGCCGCAGCTGAGCTAGTCCTAGAGGGGAGCCCTGTGCCCAGCCCCACAGCACCCTGTGGAAGGGGGCACAGGCCCAGTTCGCAGTTGATGTGGTTGAAGGGTGAACTGGCAGAACGTGGCAGCTGCTGTTTCAACAGAGGGTGCACAGTGAGCACTTCTGCTCCCCTGCCCTTCCTTCTCGTCCCTGCAACACAGAATGGCCCGGGCCTTGGGGGAGCCGGCAGGGCGGGTTTTTCTGTAAACCCCAGCTGGGGCGAATGCAGAAAGCACACGTGAAGGATCAGAGCTGGCAAAGGAAGGGACAGGTGCAGAGCCCCGGAGCAGGTGCAGAGCCCCGGAGCAGGGCTCGCTGTTGCAAATTAAGCCACCCACTGGTGTTGGTGCCTGTATGGGCTGGGACACTCCCTCCTCCCCCGCCCCCGTCCGTTTGGGGGATCTGTTCACTGGCTCTGCACTTGCTCAGATACCTGGACCCTGTCCAGATGTACATGGCCTTTTGCGCTTGCCCCAGGGGTGCTGGACCCTGCGCCAGGCGGAATGCTGCTGGGGTGGGGGTTGAGCTGGAAAGAGGAGGGGTGTGAGTGGGTGGCAAGTTTCAGCAGGGCCAGGATTTGTACAAGCAAATTGTGGTTATCATGGGTGCCTCTGACCAGTCTGGGTGAACGCTGCATGGGCACCTGTGTCCTGGGTGTCTCTGCCACTTGCCACCTGTGGAGTCTCCCCAGCTGGCAACATTCCTAGCGGGCAGGGCACTGCAGTAGGACTCATTGAGACCTGGCTTCTGTTCCCACCTCTGCGACCTTTGCCGAGTCACTGCCTGCTATGTGCCTCAGTTTCCCCTCTTGCTCCTCAGCTCTTGAGACCAGGAGCTCTTCAGGGCAGAGTGTCTTTTGCTGTGTTAGACAGGGCCTGGCCCAATGGGACCCCGACGTGGGTTGGTGCTGCTAGGTGCTACCATAGACAATATGATGCGGCCCAGGGAGAGTCCCATGCAAATTCAGCCTCTGCCTCTTCTCTCCCCTGGAGGGGTTTGCCCTTTGGGCCCCTCTCGTCCTGCTGCTGGTGCTGGAAGCGATGTGGGACTCAGCTGAGCAGAGTGGGCAGGTGCTGTGTGGACAAGGAGCAGGTGGATGGCCGGGGCGGGAGTCCTAGAGGATTGTGGGAAGGCTTTGAGGGTTTGCAGCCCTCAACAGTTGTGCCAAGGCGCTAGCCTGCATCCGCACTAGAGGGAGCAGGAGGGACAGTCGCTGTACCCCAGCCATGCCAGCGCAGTCCTGAGATTGCTGCCACTCCACCCATGTGGGGTTTGTGCGTGTGGACGGGGTGGTGTTAATGGGAACACTCGAGGGATAACTCGGCATTCACTTGCTGGTGGAGGCCAGCCCACAGCCCCATTGCAAATGAGATCCCGTAATGATGCCCGCATGCCCGCTGGCTCAGCCAGGCCCTTCGCCATTTGGTACCACTGGGCGGGTGTGCAAATCTGTGCAAATGGCTGTGAGCCATACAGCCGTGGCTCCTCGTTTCCCCCACTCTGTGCTGCTAGGGCCCAGAGCTTTGTTTCCTGCCCTGGGCCCTTGGCTGAGGAAGCAGGACACTGCATGCCCCCGTTTGGGATACTGCTGTTGTGCTAGCATGGTGCAGACAGGGTGAGATCCACCCCTTGCCAGGCCTGGGTGGCACCTGTGTCCCTGTTTTGCTGATTTCGGTGGCCGACAGGGCGTGAGCCGGCCCTCAGTGAATTTAATTTTACACTGTATGTAGCTGATCCCATGTGACCCTGCTGACTCCAGTGGCGTTCCTGCTGGCTTACGCCGGGGTGCCCGAGTGCAGAGCCCGGCCCTTTATTTCTCAGAAAAACTTGAACTGAAACATTAATTCAGATGGTCTCAGGGTGGGGCACTGTCAGATGGGCTGGAAAGCGGGTCAACCACCGTCCCAGACCAGCCCCGTGTTGTCTGGGAGATGGGTGGCCATGGTGATGGGCTCAGCCCAGCCTCGAATAATATCTTTGCTAATGGATTGGGAGTGACCCACACGCCGATCAAGGCGAGCTGGGAGGAAGCGAGGAGAATGAAACCACACAAAGGCGCTCAGCAGGGTTAGGCACACGGGCAGCAAACGGAAGCTGATTTCAAGGAAAGCATGGTGGTGGGGCCTTCTGGGGAGCTGAGAAAGGAGCCGAGTCCTGGGACAGATCTAGCTGGCAAAATGAAAAGTTCAGCTCCACAGACTCTTTGCAACAGGCCACTACTCTCTGCAGGGTATAAACTGAGGAGGAGGAATTATTTCACACAATACTTGTGGGTATAACTAGGATGACGCTCGGGGTGCTGGGCTGGGGACGTTCCAGCCCTGGGGACTTTGGAGACCTGCCTCGGGGGTGTGTTTTGTGCACAGGCTGGGAAGTGGATTCGATTACTAAGGTTTTTGCAGGCCTGTGGTTCTGTGATACACTGCAACAGGGCTGCATCGCGATGTGCGGTGTTCCCAGCTGTTCTGGACTCCAGCATGGAAAGAGAGGCAAGCCAGAGCAAAATTCAGTCTTTAGTCCTTCCTCCACCTACAGTGTCCACTCCCGGCAAGCCCGTACTGAATGGAGAGGTCTCGCCGACCCTCTACGTAATCACCCAACAGTGTCCCCTATTGGGAAGCTGGTTATCATAACACCCAGGTGTATGTGCTGAGCAAAGGATGTTGAGCAGTGTTGCAAGATTGAGAAATGGGGGGTGGAGGGAATTGCAGCCACCTGATCTCTTTGGAGACTAGATCAGGCGCTTGTTGCACGGGGCTGCCGGAATGTAACTGCACATCGTGTTTCCAACAGCGTGTGCGTTGATGCAATGCCCATGCCAGGGGCGGCAGCTCTAACATAGTCCAGACAAGCATTGTTAAGCCTGGTCTGTGGCGGGATTGTCCACACGCAGTCGCTTCCACGGGAGCTGGGCATTGCTTGTACGTCTCTGGTTTAACTCCTTTAACTCGCGCTGCCCTCGCCGCTGTCCATGACAACTGGATCGGGCAGTTGTCAGGTGGGATTCCCAAAAGCATCTGTGACTTAGGAGCCCAAATCCTGTTGCCTGAGGGATTTAGGAGCATGGGTCCTATTGACTTTGACTTTTCTCTGGAAATCCCAGTTTGGGACTCAGGGTGGTGTTTCCAATTTTCACTCCTCTACCTGCCTCTGCTGCCGCCTCTGTGTGGTACCCACTGGGGATCTGTGTGGCTGTGCTGATTGACAGCTGTGTGCCTGCCTCTGCAGCCATCGGAGAGCTGTTAACGAGAGGCACTGAGGGAATTGCTGCTTCCTTTTATCCCTCCCCCCCGCTCTGAAAGCCACCTACCCTAGGTGCAGATTGGCACGGATGTGCTGGGCAAGGAGGGTGCAGTTTACACTTCGTTGAACTGGAGTAATTATTGGAGCAACTTTTTTGCCTTACTCCGAATGAGCAGGTCACCACCCCCGTCCCCCGTCCATTAGGGGGTCTCTTTGCCCTGCGGCTGCGCTCTTTCAGTGTCTCCAGTCAATGAGAATTAACCTCTCGCCTTCCTTAAGAGCCAGCTGGGATGCTGGAGTTGTAAACTGAGCTGGCTTTAATCGGCTTTTACGAGTCGATAATTTCTCTGTGTGTCTCTCTGCACCGAGGCAGCAGGGGCGAGTCGGGATGGGCGGCTGCAGGGAGACCTACTAAGCAACACAGGCCCTCATAGCCAGCTCTGTGCATGAAAACAACTTCAAGGCTGGGGGAAAGGTGAGGGATTCACTGGGCCGGCACTCTCCTCCTCCTTGGCCCAAATCCCACCGCAGATTAGTCGACAGGAACAGGCCCTACCTCCGCAGGCAGGAAAGGAAAGCAAGCGAGCAAAGATAAGCCCTGGCGGGGGCGTCAGTACAGATGGCGCAGGCCCAGCAGGCACTGAAATAGGAGCCAGGACTGTGCCTCTGCTGAGCTGTCAGGGCTAATGGCGTGCCGGCTTTGCAGGACAGGGATCCAGCCCTGCTTTTATGTCACCAATGGAATGAGTTTGGCGGTTTGAGCCATGGGCCCATTAGGAGGAGCTGGTCATGCCATGA